CATTTGCAGAGGTGTTTTTTGTCGCGAGTGTTCTTGGAAAGTACTCATCCGGTTGAGATGAAACCTTTTTAGGTTTAATAGGCATGTTGTATAGATGTGCGGAACGAAGGTCATTTTGCGCGCACATACATGCAAGTGCGTAGTAAAATGACTGATATACTTAATATATATATTTCTTGATGAAATGCTCTAAAACTCAAAACATAAAGATATATAAGTAGTGTAGACAAGATGACACGGTCAAATTAGCATGAACTCACGCACATGCGCTTCGCTCTGATTGTCTGAAACAAAAATCTCAATATCTTCCTTGTTTTTTAAATCCTTTGAAATGTAAAAAAAAAAAAATAGATATACATTACAAGGCTCCCTAATATGTTATATGCAGAAAATCTTGAAAAGACGTGCTCTGCGATTTGATTGGCTGAAACTTAAAATGGCAATAACTTTAGTTTTTAACAAAACAGAATGAAATTTAGAATATAAATAAGTATAATGGGTTCCTACATTATGCTACTATCAAAATTGAATGCAAATACATGCATGCAAGTGTGCTGAAATCTGATTGACTAATACTTTATAGGTTGTATCTCTCTTTCTTTTCAATATAATTTTTTGAAATTTAAGACTTTGGCATATTCTATAAGGCACTATAAGAATATATATGCGAGAAATCTAGAAAATACGCACAAGCACGCGTGCTGAAATCTGACTGGCTAAGGTTGTTAGTATAATGTTCATAATTGTTAACGAATGAAGATGAAATTCAGAGTATATATAAATAATACATATTCCTACTGGCTACATCATTCAATAATCAGAAGTGAATATGAGGACATGCATGCACGCGCGCTGATTTCTGATTGCTTAATATTCATGTTACTGTTACTTTCAATTTTTTTCAGTGAAATTCTTTGAAATTTAACAAGGAGCTTTTTATTATGGAATTCTATCAGATTTTATACATGTAAATGGTAATTTTCGAAATCATGTGCCTGCACGTTACTTAAATCTGATTTGCTTATGTTCACTGTGCTGTATTTGCATTGTTATTTCTTCCAAATTCTTTTGTAAATAAGTTGTTAAAGTCTATAATACAAAGGTTTCATTTGCCTAATTTGCTGAAGCATATAGGTAATGGGTCCCAAGAGGGAGTGGGGGGGGGGGGATTTGGCGAACATCTGCAACGGTCTCCGTTACAATTAGAACTAGTTAGATCTACATTAGACTATGGTTGCATTGTATATGGCTTGGCAAGAACATCATACATGAAAGCTCTTGACGCAGTCCATCATCAAGGCCTTCGACTGTGAGGAGCTTTTCGAACTTCTGTAAATAGTCTATATGTCGAAGCAAATGAACCACCGCTGGACTTAATTAAGAAGAATTAAACTCACCTTACAGTATATACTCAAATTAAAAGCAAATGTTAATAATCCTGCTTATATATGTGCTTTTCATCCGCAGTATGAAAATTTATATGATTAAAGTAAAACGTGTATAAAACCTATTGGTCTTAGATCTAGAAAACATATCAGGGATTCCGACATACCTTTGGACATTATAAAACCTACAATTTTCTCTAAAATACCGCCATGGAAATTAATTAAACCAAATGTAGACACATCTTTAACTGAATTTAAGAAATCAGAAACCAATTCTTGGCTGGAATCCTTTGACAGTTGTAGACATATGAAGCAAAACTTCTTTCGTTTTCATTATTCAATGAGCAGAGTCGTTACAATGGAACAATTCATATTACCCAGAATGCAAATATTGAATAAGAATAAGAAAAAAAATCGCATAAGAATAATCAATTTATCGAATAGGACAAGATTATCGAATAGGAATTATATGTTTTTTAATAGGAATAACATGTTTATCGAATATAAATCATTTAATTATGGAATAGCAATAACAACTTATCGAATAGGAATGATGAATTATCGAATAGAATAAACTTTTTTCGCATATTAAGAATAACAACTTATCGAATAGGAATCACATTTTGTCGAAAAGGAGTCGAATAGGAATGATATCTTTTAGAATAAGAAAAACAAAATTTTGAATAGGAATAACAAAAAAGTATAATAATGCAACGCTTTACATGCCATACCATATGCAGTTGATAGCGGAATATCACTTTGCAAATAAGGAGAGTTCACTTTAGAAAAGATGAAATCATTTCTTTTCTTATACAATATAGTTGTCAGTTGGCCTTCATCGTCCATAGTCAGTAAAACTTCAAAAAACAGTTGTGGCACATTCAGTGATGTCTTTAATTTCAAATTCAATGGGATATATCGAGTTGACATATGAGCTAAAGTAACTATTGTTACTTGATCATACGTCATCGGTGTATCAAAATGACGAGTTGAAGGCCAAAGCAAGTGTTTTCTTCTTCTCATGTAAATTTTTTTTTAGATAAATCCTTCCTCATAGAAATTTAAAATCAGGCCGGCTAATAAAGGAGTACAATTAGTGTCCATCGAAATTCCAAAATTTTGTTGGAACACCCGGTCTCCGAAGATTACAAAAACGGTGTCAAGTAGGAACTTCAGCTTCCTTTTAACATCAACTTCAGGATACTTTAAGGTAGAATCAGGGTGATTTTTTAAAACGTGATTTTGTTGATGATCTTTTACAAGATACGAAAATTTCCGACTTCCATTTTTATTTAGGAAGCAGATGTCCATGATAAAATGTAGAGTTTTAAATTTGTTGTAAGGAATGCGTGTAAAGAGTACAAAGGTCGTACGTTTTGATTTTACTGACTTTTGAAAAAATTGTCGATTTCAAATTTTCTAAAACTTCTTTAGAGATTTTTTTTAGAATCCACATCTGATTTACAACACCTATAGAATATGCTGTAGCGCACTAGATCGGAATATTTATTTAAAAAAAAAAACACCCGCCCCTCTCTTCCCCGCCTTGGAATAAAATGGTAGTCCCTAAACTTATATAAACTTGTCTTCATAATATCTGACAAATTGATATACCTGTCCAACAAATACGGGTCAAAATAATTTTCTGGCAAATCGACAAATTTCGACAATTCAACATATTTATCTGACCAAATTATTAATGACCAGTTCTCTTCTGACTAGTCGACATCAGTTAACATTTAATTTCTTCTACTTAATAAGATGCTATGTGGACTTGCCAGCAAATGACGAATTAACAGTTTCTGATCTCGACGTGTCAAATATTATGTCCACTACAGTAATTATGATGACTTGTTAGAATTGATGGCGATTTGTCTGAAGATAATGTGCCAAATCCTATTGTAGACTTGTAGTAAAGATATTTTGTCAACTTGATGGCAAAAACGTAGTTCAGACAGGTTTCCATGTAGATGTAGATTTTTTTAGCACGTCAACAATGACATCAAGTCAGCAAAAAGAGTTGACTAGACATTATTAACAGATGTGGTTGCACAAAACTTTGCCACCGTTATGGCATAGTTGCAATTATGCACTATATAAATATATGGCAACAGGACAGCAAATTTATACAAAATAACTAGATTTAGGGTTTTCCTATATCTATTCGGTACTAATATTCTAATCAACTAGCATAATAAATCTTGTATACATCAGAGTTCTTACCGAAGCCGCATAAAATACTAAGCTTTGATTTACATGTATACGTACCTACACATTTCAAAGCCTTTTTTGGCCCAACAATTTCTTGGTGTAAATATATGGATCCAATATTAAACTAATAGACTATGGTAAAAGAAATATACTTAATAACTTTTCATAGATCTAAAGTACTTAAAAAAATCTTTTTTGTTTTCGCAGTCTTCGAACGTCTAAAAATTTTGTTGAGATAAAACAATAAAAATACAAATAAACATTTTAAAATAAAAAAAAATATTGAAATTGGTAAAATACTTCACATGAAATAAATCGATCTATTGAGGCATCATTTTTAATATTTACTTCTCAATTACATGTATACTTCGAACTAGAAACGGTTTTAAATTCAAAATCGCCATGGTCACACAAGACGTTGAAAAAATTTGCATCAATCTCCGAAGCAATAGCACTCATTTCGGGGATGTCATATGCTTTGCTTGTATAAGGTTTGACGAATATGGTTTTGTAAGATCCTGTGTTTTGCAAAATTGTTTCATCTCTATGGTTATCTACAAGAGATGCATCCAACAGGTCTTGGGTGAAATATTTATGATATTATTCGGGCAGGTAGTTTCTGATGGCAAAATAGGGTTGTTTACAGAAAATTGCATCATCCTCTCTACATTCCACTCCAAACACCGGTTCAAAATGAGCATGAACGTTCTGTAGATAAACATTACACTCCATGTTAGGTGCTTTTTCAATAGGAGAATAGCAAGACCATCCCATTTTTGGCAAGTTTTGGCTAGTGCCCTTTGGCAATATACATATACACAAGTGTCCATCATTGTCGCGAAGGCAAATATTTCTACTTCTGTTCCCCAAGTGCCAACTTTTCCCATTTCTGACTGTTCAATATACTGGTTTATACTTCTCCTCTCAGCGATGGAAAACTCTGCGTTACGAGATTTCATATATTCCATTAGTAGTCTCGTATTATTACATGATATGTTTGTGAGCCAAAGAGACTGTAACTTAGAGCTCGAAATAAACAATTACCATCTCCTCTCATGGGAATCACTTTCAACGGTTTTGCGTCAATGGCCATTTCATGTATTCTAGATTTTCCATGCAAGTTCTTCACATTAACACCGAAATGTTTTGCATGTTTCATCTGCCATTTGCTATCTACACACACAAATATTTTTCTTTTTGAATAATTACGTTCTTGTATTGTGTATGTTACTGTGTCCTCTTCACCATTTACCTCATCTATCTCATCTTTAAAGCTCCTTGAGAATTCTCCATCATCTGTCCAAACATTGAAGCTGTCTTGCATTGCTTGGTTTTTCTCCTTGTCAGATACATTATTAGAAAAATCTTGGTATGGTTGTTCATCTTCTTTAAAGTGGTCTTGAGTTAATAAAGGATGGTGTCATCAGTGTCACTTGAAGACTCCTCTTCCTTACTTTTTGAATCAGGGGATCTATATTTTTTCAATCTGCCTCCGTTGACTGCTCCTTTCAAGCCTTTTAAGGCGTAAACACATACGCCGTTTTTCTGTACTTTCACATTAGTTATCTGGTATGGTCCTAGCCACTTCTTTTCCAGTTTTCCACCTTTTCTGCTGATTTTTCTTTTATTGTGAAGAAGAACAGTTTCTCCTTTCTTAAATCTTTCGTTAGAAACACTCTTGTCATGGTACTTCTTTTGTTTTTTCTGTGCTTCATATATTCTTCTTTTGGCCCTTTTTCTTGCCTCTCTTACAGTCAGAAACGCTTCAGCACGTCGTTTGAATGCAAGGTCTTCGTCTTCTACCTGCGTAGTAGAACTATCAGTGACAGGAAGATCAAGTTCTACAGGCAATCTTGCCTGTCTTCCATAAACTAAAGAAAACGAATCCATTTGCGTGGACGCATGTTTAGCTGTTCTGTATGCAAAAAGTACCATTGGAATGTGTTCATCCAAGTCATTACTTTTTGAGTTAACAACGTTGGATAGCATAGTGCAAAGAGTTCTGTTGAACTTCTCTCTTTGACCACCAGTTTGTGGGTGGTAAGCTGTTGCAACTCTGTGCTCTATTCCCATTCGTTCACAGAAGCAATCATTTATTTCGTTACAAAACTATCTGCCTTGGTCGGTAATAAGTATATTTGGTACGCCATGGGTGCAGACAAATTTGATAAGAACGCTCATTACTGATACCGCACTTTTTTCAGGATTACCTTCTGCTGCAACCCATTTCGTCAGGTAGTCAGATAGAACTACTATATAATTTATATATATATATATCAGGAAATATATATATTTCCTGAAGACAAAAATTAAAGAACATTGAAACATTCATCAAATTTAGTGCTTGAATTGACCGTACATGGTGAATATTACACTATTGCTGGAGGAAAATGTGAACATAACGTTTCTATCTTTGTTCCATGTAATTGTTGAACCTGTTGGGTTTTTATGTTCTGGAAGGTGATTGATATGATAATGCTCATAAACATGCAAAAATCTGCTGCTCTCTAATATGAAAATTGCCTTTTGATAAATATTTTTCTTTCAATTTGCTCTTATCATAAGTTGCTCGTTAACTTATTACTAGTATTAGAGTTCTTAAAAACTTCCAATGATACAAACTGAACTAATCACTACACCGATCCGTTTAGCATAAGAATATAGTGAACATCAGCTTGATTATTTATTTGTATTTGCTCAAATAGATGATTGCTGTATTTTGTTACTAAGTATGTATTAAACTTAATAAAACATACCCTTTTCTATATCATATCCTATATCATCCCTTGACCAATATCAGCCCTCGGTCCTCTGGCCGATATTGGGGTTTCAGGCTGATACAGGGATACAGGACGTATTTTTCTCTATTATTCTGAACAATAAATCTGGAAAAAAAAAAATCATACTACCTGTCTTTGTTTCTTCCAATGGCCCGATCAAATCCATACCAATCTGTAAGAAAGCTTTGTCGGATACTGCTATGGGGCGCAAGGGTTTCTTTGCTTTCTTCAGATGCTCTGGCAGGTGTCGCATTTCATGACATATTTCTTCACATTATCAGATGACCCCACCCAGTAGTATCGAGAACGGAGCATATGCCACCTAAGATTGAAAAAAATACTTTATTTTACATTATTTTCAACATAATCCGTTTTAAAAAAAAAATTTTAAATCTGGCCCACCAACATAATACATCTAAATTATGCATTACATTCGGGGCCCCACACAGTTAAATGCAAAAGTTTTACTGTGAGTGTCACAGGCACTTGGGGAATGGATCCCCCCTTGCCATTTTTTTCCTCCTAAAATCTGGGATCGACACACCTTTTTCCTAATTCTGTATTGTAATATGCACTATATTTATCGATAATGTAACCATTTTGTCTTTTTAAGCTGTTTTTAAATAAATCGTTTTCGACTGATTTTTAGATCACCTGAGCCGAAGGCTTACGTGAGCTTTTCTGATCGAAATTTGTTCATTGTCTGTCGTCGTTGTAAACTTTTCACATTTTCATCTTCTTCTTAAGAACCACTGGACTAATTTCAACCAAATTTGCCACAAAGTTTTCTTGGGTAAAGAGAATTCAAATTTGTTCAAATGAAGGGCCACGCCTTCTTCAAAAGAGAGATAATTACGAATTTGTGAAATATTAATGGCATCATTTAAAAATCTTTTTCTCAAGAATCAATGTGCTAGAAAATAGGAAACTTACATGGAATCATCGTGAGGTAGTGTAGATTCAAGTTTGTTCAAATCATGACCCTCGGGGGTAGGGTGGGGCCACAGTGGGCGATCAAAGTTTTACATAGGAATACATAAGAAAAATCTTTGAAATTCTTCTCAAGAACAGCAACGTCATGATTGATCATAATAATATAAAAGTATCCTCAGGTAATACAGATTCAAATTTGTTCAATTCATGAACCCTATAGGAGTATAGAGGGGTCATAACAGGGAATCAGAGTTATACAAAGGAATATAAAGGATATATCCAAAAAAAAAAAAGAACAGCAAAGTCATTTTTTGTCATATTAATTCCAAAGCATCCTTAGGTAGTGTAGATTTAAGTTTTTTTCAAATCATAACACCCTATCTGAAGCACTTTTAAATTTAAACTTTTCAATACTGAACTGATTTCTGCTATTTCCTAGCCAAAGTGCTCAGGTGAGCGGTCTGGCCCATGGGCCTCTTGTTATGTTCAGTCGAAAACGATATATTTAAAAACAGCTTAAATAGATAAAAGGGTACATTATCAATAACATGTAGTGCATATTAGAATATAACAAGAGGCCCAGGGGCCACATCGCTCACCTGAGCACTGTGGCTAGGAAAAAAGAAAAAAAAATCAGTTATGTATTGAGAAGCTTAAATGCATAAGTGGTCCCAACCTACCCCTAAAAGGGAGTGGGGGTATGATTTGAACAAAATTAAATCTACACTTTCTAATGATGCTTACATAATTTTTTGACTAACTGTGACATTTTTCTCTACAAGTTCGAACTTTTATTGTGGCCGCACCCTGATTTGAACAAACTTGAATCTACACTATCTGAGGATGCTTCCATATAAATATGACAAACAGTGGCTTTGCATATTCCTATGTAAAACTTTGATCGTTCATTGTGGCCCCACCCTACCTCCGGAGGTCATGATTTGAACAAACTTGAATCTACACCACCTGAGGATGCTTCCACATAAATATGACCAATCATAGCTTTGCTGTTATTGAGAAGAAGATTTTTGAAGATTTTTCCTATATATTCCTATGTAAAACTTGGATCGTCCATTGTGGCCCCACCCTAGCCCCGGGGTCATGATTTGAACAAACTTGAATCTACACTACCTGACAATAATTCCACATGAGTTTCATCTTTCCTGGCCCATTGGTTTTCTTGAGGAGGAGATTTTTCAATAATGTCATTAATTTTTTGCTATTTCCTAATTATCTCCCCTTGGAGAAGGGCGTGGCCCTTCATTTGAATAAACTTGAATCCCCTTCACCCAAGGATACTTTGTGCCAAGTTTGATTGAAATTGTAGTTCTGGAGAAGAAGATGAAAATGTGAAAGTTTACACCAACGACAACGACAGACAACTGACAAATTTCGATCGGAAAAGCTCACTTGAGCCTTCGGCTCAGGTGAGCTAAAAATAGGAAAAAAGGAGTGTCGATCCAAGTTTTTAAAAGAAAAAAATGGGAGGGGGGTGTTTCCATCCCCCCAATACCTGTGGTGTGTGTAGAAAAAGGTCTTTTAGTTTAGAGCATTCTTCAAGGGCGATTGTGGTTTTGCTGAATACGTCTTGTTGATTCCAAGGTGACCTCCATGTACTTGAGCATGTATACTTTTGAGAATGTCCGTCTTTTTATTTTCGGACACAACTCTGAGGTCTTTGTCTTTAAATCTATGGAAAAGGTTTCACTAGGAACTTCTTGCAATCTCTTCTGAAAATTCTTTTTCTTGTCTCCGACTTTTTCACTAATTTTGGATAAATTCCTTTGGTTAAGTAATTTTTTATCTGTAAGATGCGTCTACTCTCCATCGTTGCTTCGAGCTAAGTGACAGACTGGGTTTTATGCAGCAGTCAAGAACTGTTCTTCTCTGATCTCCCTGTAGAACTAGAGCTAGAGTCTGGGATGGACTAGAAGCTACATTTCTCACCATCTTTGATATCAACAATTAAAACAACGCAGTTAATGCAACTTCTTTGATCTAAACAACTAAAAAGCGCATTTCTCTTCAAAGAAACCGATGAGAGAGGGAGAGAGAAGGATCCTGGAGTTTTTCTCGGAGGCGGGGCTGTGGTGTCAAAACCCTCTGAAATATTGTGACAAAAAAAAACAAACAAAATAAATAAATGAAACAAAGAACCAAGCAAATAAAAAAGGGAAACGAACCAATGTTGAAAACCAAACCATGTTTCTTGAGGATGGAAGGGCCGCTTCAGAAACTCCTCACATATAATCCCGTGTTTCCCCGGTGGTGGTTGGGGGGGGGGGTGGGGGGTATATCTTTGGCTACTTTGTTACAAAAATTAAATAAAGCTGAAAGTCAGGTTTTGTGTGTCTAAACCAGACATTTTTTGACTAACCCCCCCCCCCCCCCCAATCCAAAACGAAATAAAACTATACAATACAATACATGAACAAAACAGCACAGTCACAAATACAAAAAAAAAATCTTCATATATATGCATAATCTTAAACATTTACAAGGGATCTGTGTTACCTTGGATGGTACTTATCCCCCCCCCCCCCTTTCGATCCTCTACTTAAAATAAGTAGGTATTGTGGGGTTCGTTGTTGAACTGTTTGATTAACTAGGCGAAAAAGATCACTAAGCTTTTATTAAAAGAATCCGGTTTTCAAGATGGACATACATGTAGTTATTACTGTAATATTGTCATGACTGAATATGCATAAAAATGTACGTGCATCATGCGTAAACGTCCACAATATCCCAAGTACTCATATTACGAATTTTAGAAGTATTAAAATAAATGCAGTGTTGTTAGCCTATAGCAAATATAAATAAACATATTTCTGAACTAAATTGTATATTGTGTAACTATATATATTAATATTCTAGATTCATATATATTTCTTTTTAAATAAATATTACATGAAATATTGCGATTTTACGCTAAATTTAAAATTGAAGATATTTATGTAAATATTTTATTCTAAAGAATAAAACTGAATTAAGTGTGTATATTTTATTGAATAAATCACAGTTGTGAATATCAATTCATAAATATGTGTTTTTATGCTGTTGAATTTAGAACCGGCTTCATGATCAAAATTCCACGACCCGGCTCACTTTTCAACGGACTAGGGTCTAAATTCAACACCTTTGGTCTCAATATTCAACGTTGAAAAATGGCCCCCCGGGTCAATTTTCAACCCGGGTCAAAATTCAACCTTACACCGGCCGCAGTGAATAAAAATAAATAATGTTTTCTCTTTACGTCTTCCAAATGAAGCAACAATATTTACAGCAGAAGCAAAAGCCATACAACTTGTATTTGAATATGTTAAATCTTCTAATGACAACGTTTTTACAATATTTTCGGACTCGCTCTCTTGCTTACAATCTATACAAAATATGATCATCGATCAACCATACATTTTAGATATAATAATTCAGTACTATCATTTCACTCAACAAGGTAAAGTAGTTAACTTTTGTTGGATTCCAAGTCATATTGGCATCATCGGAAACACTAAGGCTGATAGTGCTGCAAAAACGGCACTTCAGTACGACATTACCTTTTTTAAAATTCCTTATACTGACCTGAAATATATTGTGAAACTTTACGTAAATTCCCTTTGGCAAATTTATTGGGAATTTTGTGATACAAGTAAACTATATGCAATAGAAAACAAAGTTAACAAATCATCTAACTTCGGTCTGAAACTTCAGGACGAAGTGATTATTTGAAGAATACGTATAGGCCATTTAAAAATAACACATGCATACTTATTAAATCGAGAATTTCAGCCAGAATGTATATCCTGTGACTGTCCACTTACTATAAATCATATTCTTTTGAAATGTTCTGATTTTTCGCCTATTCGAAGTAGACTTTTCAATAATGTACGAATGATGCGTGAACTGTTTACAAATGTTAATGTTAATACAATTTTAGATTATTTACATGAAACTGGTTTTTACAGTAAAATTTAAAGGTACACAATATAATAAATGTTGTTGATAAACACAGAAAGTTTTATTTTTATAACTTTAAATATTTTTAAATTTTTAAATCCGTCGGATGGGACGATAAATGGTGCCCCGTGTCAAGGACTGCAACCTCCTTAGTACACAAAAGATCGTTTCTCTGGTTTTCGGAAGAGTAGACTCACTGGGGACCGCCAGAGAACTAAAAATCTTCCTAAACTGGCCATATAATTTTCAATTTTCCCGATATATGGCTGTAATATTGCCGACTCGGCGTTAAACACTAATCAACAATCAATCAACCAATCGTCGTCATCATCAATTACAGTGTTTTGATCTTGATTTTTTTGGCCAAAGCACATAAAATGATATCATCATCATTATCACTTTCTATGACTATTTTTGTGTTCTTTTAGATGTGTCTGAATTTCTTCATTCAGTTTTTTTCTGCTAAAAAATAATAATGTCAAGTCAAGTTTTTCATTGAGTAGATGGGTTGCCCAAAGTCCCTTTAAGTACTCTGGAGCCTGTTTTTCAAATACCTCATTTTTTTAAGGATCTGCAAATCCTGGAGTATATTTCACTTCGTCTTATTTCTTCTTCTTCTAATAAATTTAGCTCCTTTTTAACAGTTTTACAAAACACACATTCCAAACCTGCAACAAATACTAAAGTAAATTATTTTATAAAGTAGAAATATAAAGATATGTGTACATTTTAATAAACATCATGCTAATTAATTCAAATAAAATTTTAATCTTATCTTCCATTTTAATTCTAACCTGTTTTTATGTATTATTATGCAAAAAACGTATTTTAATAGATCTATTCTTAATCTACTTATGAATATTTGATTTTCTTGAGAATAACAACAGTTTTATAATCAAAACAAACAAATAAAACTTACAATCTTATTTAAAATTTGATTTATACAAGCAATGCTTACAAGAAAAAATAAGTAATAACAATACTGTGATACAGAATTATAAGGTCGTATCTGGATTAAATCTCTTAATAGCCGATGTAGTAATAATTTTTAACTTTTAAATGATGATCTTCATTTAGAAAAAAAGGTATGTATATATTTTATTTGTACATTATTCCTCTTTATAACATATTTAATGAGAGTAATGACTGATTTTTCAGCATGTAATTTTTTAAAATTTACTTCATAAAAGGTCGTTTGTGTATGGTAATAAAATAAGATTTATAATAAATGTCGACAAATGAATGAAAGTAACTATTGTTAATTAACAATACGTCTTCGATATATCTAAATGTCGAGTTGAAGTCCACAGTCTTCTTCACAGCTCTGCTTCATATGAATACAAAAACAGGTCTGCTAATAACGGGGCGCAATTGGTACCCATGGGAATTCCAATAGATTGTTGGAAAACCTAGTCTCCTAAACCACATTAATATTCTCAATCAGAAACTCAAGCATCTTTTAATATCAACTTCAGAGTACTTGTGTGTACAATCATAATGTTTTTAACAAAATAATTTACAAATGACCAATGACAAGGTAAGTAAGTTAAAAAAAAACTTTACGAATCCATTTTTATTGAAGAAGCAGCTGTCAATGATACCAAAAATCCTGGACTTTAATTTATCGTGGGGAATGAATCGTAAGTTTTTATATTGTTGATTTTTGTAAAATTTTGTGATTTAAAATTTTCCAAAAGTTCCTTAGAATTTTTAAGTATCCATATCTGATTTACACCACTTCTGGAAAATATTGTTGCACAGTACTCCTGAAGTTTCTCCTTCACTTATGTTAATATTTTAGTGAGGAGAAAAAAAAGAGGCTTGGTAGAACATTTACTGGAACCCGTTATGTATCTTTGTAAGGATTTTTATAAAGTTTCGGAATCCAGTATAGATATGGTAATTCAAATTCATGTTGGTTGTTGGAAATATTAAAAATATTCAAAACTGACATATGATTTTGAAGAGTTTCCTCCTTAGAAAGGGAGCTATTGGTATAAGTTGGATTACCACTTGTTGTATTGAATCCCAGTTCCTCTAAAAATGAGCCTTACAAACAAAGACAATGTTGTTACCTGCTTTGTCAGCAGGGACCAGTACACACTGATCGTGTAATGTATCTAATTCTTTTTTCACCTCTGAAGTATTCAACACAGAAAGATAGTTGGTTTTCATTTTGCCCCTCAATCGCTTAAAGCCAGATTTTAACATACATCCGATACATTTAATCCATTCTGACAACGTATCAAGGTCTTCTTTTTCATGTCTGGCCCATCGCCTGGCGTATTCTTCCACAGAATTCATAATATTTATGAAATTGTGAAGCCAGTTAGAAGATCGTGGTTCACTAAATTTTGGCCCTTTTAAAATAAATGATTTAGGGTCCGCATTATTAACTATATTTACGTCACCAGTAATAACGTGTCCAGCAGGACTATAGTTGTAGCTAGGGTGAAGAAGAACATGAACAGGAAGGATGATTCCGTATCAGATGCTCAATATCCAGGCTCTGTAAAGTTTCCTTGTAATTAGAAAGTTTTGAAGCAATAATCGATGTATGTTGGTGTAATCATCAACTTGTAATACAAGATGGACCCTTTTGTAATTAAAAAGAATATTAATTATATTAACCGCGTCAATTCCTTTGTTGGTGAATGGCATATTGGAGTTTAAGGGAAAAAAAACGGGTTGTTTTAGTTGCATTTTCTTCTGTAAAAGTGGCTGTTTAAAAAGCCGATGATTTGCAATATCCATAACCACAGATCCGAGCATGTGTTCTGGTGTCGAGGAATCAATAAATGGACTTTCCTGGACCTTTTTAAGTAGACTATTTAACAATTTCAAAGGGACAGAGTAAAGTCTGGTGTGAATGTGATGAAGATCTAATTGTTGATTTACTGTTGAAGAGGAACCTTTGTCTATCTCACTCAGTTTATCTGCTAAATATCCAGGAGCAGAGAATATTTGTAAGGAGTTAAAACACTTTCACTACAGCCACATCCAACACCAGAACCCATGACCTAAGGGAACATTGAATTCACAATATGGAAGATGCACTCTTACTTATTATAATTATGCACTTACTTTGCTTGATACCCAGGAGCAGACAAGAAGATTCGTAAAAAATATTGCATTTTCATTATAATGAACAGAACGCTGCTCTAGCACCAGAACCCTAGCTGACACTGATGCCATGAATTTTCACAGATTTGTTAGAGGGCTCAATGCTTATTACAGTCACAACTGTTTGACTGCTTGATGTACAGAAGTAAAGAAAAAAAAATAAAGATTGCATTCATTTTGATGGTTTAGCCCAAGCCCTGAGACCATGGGGGCGTGGGCCATATAAATCTCACAATTTTTGCTCTCCTTCAGATCAGCCATTGACAATTTATGCCAAAATTTGTTGAAATTGGTTCAGCTATTCTAGAGAAGAAGCTGAAAATTTTTAAATGTTAACGCACCACGACGATCGAAAGCAGATAGCAATAGGTCAATTGAGTGACTCAGGTGACTCCCCCCCCCCCCCCCCCTCTTTGTAGAATTAGTAAATGTATACATGTATATTGAAGTAAATTAAAAAATGCCAATATGGATATAAAGATTTGAAATTTGACGATGGAAAAAGCTGAATTCATTCCGGCGAACTTCGTTTAGTACAGGGAAGAAACCATTTATTTTCATTTAAAGAAATATGAAATCATTTTTTATTTATTATGCGACATAAAGTGTTTGTTCCAAGTGTTATAAGGCTTTCAATATTCTTGTTAAAGTCAGTCAATGGTGGTTATAATTAGCTCGTTTGCAATTACAACCGTAGACTAGGTCGTATTTTGACAGATTTTTCATATCAATTGGTACATGTATGCATTTTTTACTACGGAAAACACTTTTTACCTGATCATGACAAAAAGGGCTAATGACATGTGGCATGTGTGTCAGATACACAGGGGAAGCTTACTCACCCTTGACACCAGGGGCCCGTTTTACAAAAGAACTTACGACTAAGACCAAAATTTAATTCGTCTTATAACTTTTTAATTTACATTATATTGAAAATGGTTTTGTTCTTTTTAAAAGGAATGTAGTAAGTTATTTTTGTACTAGCAATTTTAAACAGAATCATTAATTTTGCAAAATTTTACAATCAACTTCAGTTTTTGGTCTTAGTTGTAAGTTCCTTTGTAAAACGGGCCCCTGGTCTCCACAGGTCTGTAATTTTGCTACAGTCACATCAAGGAATCTATTCCAAACTCAAGATGTTTCAAGGGGTCCGTATTCTTGCCATATTCATAATACGTTTTGACTAAAATTTATGAAATCAATCTCTTCGTATCTTCATCTTTTTTTTCTCATTTTTCCCTTGTATAATTGTAGATATGGAGGGAGAGAAAAGTTACCCCAAAGGTACGGAGGAACAAAACAAACAGCTATCTTTGAATAAGGGCGAAAAGAAAAGTTCAAATAAAAGAGTTTCATCGAATACATCCTCCTCCTCTGCGTCATCTAACGAGTCATCGTCATCAGAAATGGAGTTCCAATCTTCTAACATGGATATATGTCAACTTTATCCAATTTCCAGTAGCTCTTCTGGTTATTCCGACAGACAGAGTTCTTCGTCGGACACTGGAAAGTCCCGAGACGACATTACTGATGAAAAAGACAACTGTATTCCACTAATCAATGGACCCATTACGATGTCGATGACCGAAGCAAAACTATGGTACAAGTTTTTGAAAGTGGGGACGGAAATGATTATCAACAGAACTGGAAGGTCAATATATTTCATTTTACCTTTTAATTGAAGTATTGAAATGTAAAGCAGGACTTGGATACATAAAATTCCCCTTATTCTGCACAAATTTAAGATTTACGATTGAAGGTCAAAAACACCTCCCCCCCCCCCCCCCCCCCCCGTCACCCGCGTGGCGCAGTGGTTACGTGTCTGCTCTAGAGTAGCGGAGTAAGGAGTTGATCCTTACGTCGCGAGTTCTAATCCCACTACGGGACGTTGGAGACCGGTCCTTCGGATAAGACCGTATAATCCGAGGTCGTGTAGCTGTAGGTGCTGGCACGAAATATCCCTCACATGCTCAATGGCCCAGAGTGTCGAGTATAGTTTAAAATTTGCAATTGTCTACCGGCAAGTGAGGGCGTCTCCATATACATGTATATTACAAACTATACAAATACAACTTTCCTTCGTATCTACAAAAACAAACTATATAAAATCCCGCGCAAGCGCGGGGAATTGAATTTATACCACTACCGACAGAAAATATATTGTAGTTTCCTCTGACAGCCTACAGGCTTATAGCAGGAAGAAATAACTTTGTTCAAAATTCCGCATGAAGTAGATTTACGTCTCCACTCCCCCTCCCCCTTCTTTTGTAAAAACTTGAAAAATAACAGTTTCATTAACTGACGTTTATTTTGAAACCTGTTAGATACTATGTTATGGATATTGTACTTCAGATGCTCATTTCATTTCCGTCAAGGATAAAAGCAGCGAATATGCACATTTTACTGATAAATTGATTTTTTGGGGGGAATGGGGTAAAAATTCACAGGTAGTTAGGTCTTGGTTTATAAATATGTATGTACCTTAATGATATGTAAAAAATGTACTTTACTTTTTTTTTTACATATCAATAAGGTACATACATATTCATAAACCAAGACCCAAGTACCTGTGTAAAATTAGCTTTTAACGCCCTATGAATAGGTCGAGTACTAGTATTTGATACTGTGTTCAGAAAAAAACTGAAATGTATTGATTAAAGCACAAAATTTTACAGTTTATTTGTATTTGAACAATACCTTATTCATAATTTTCTCTTTTCATGTAAGCAAGTTCATTACGAAGTACAAAGTGTACTTCGGGTTCGTTGCCAAGATGCTCTCAGTAAGGAATATATACAAATTTTACCGATACATTTATTAGGAAAACCTACTACATATGTAATAGTCTTTCGATATATAAATATATTCTCAACTTATAGTGTTATCAATGATTTACCATTTTCTTCAATGACCATTCACACGAAAGTTTTTTTGATGTTCATGCAGCTATAATCGCCTCGTTTTTCTTTTTCACATCGGGCTCGATACTATATGATGTTCTAGAAGCTTCCGCCAATATTAAGATCGGTGAATGACGAAAATAATTTGCACATTTCCTTTTTTAATCGGTTATCACAACGTATTTCTTTTATACCATATAAATCAAGTTTTGATTGAATAATTCAGTGATGACGTTTTATGAAATAAATAAACGATTGCTTGTTGTCAGTTTCTTTAAAAATTGCCAGTAACTTAGATCCGCCAACCGGAATTCCAACGTACTCAAGTTTTTGCAATTTCATGGCTGTTTGTAGGAAATGAAAGTACACTTTTAATTTTATGTACGATACTTACTATGCGAGTGAAATCTAAATATAGTTTACGGACATTATCTTGTATCTAGTGTATTGCAAAATTTATTAATTTATAAGTATAGATAATTAATAAAATCAAAGATGGTATTTGTGTGGGCGGAAAAACGTCTTACTGCACTGAGAGAGAGCCTTCGAATGGCGTTTAACTTTTACTTAAGTAAGCGTGCGTGCTTTAACAGAATACCCGTGGAACAGGTATTCCATAAATACAGTAAACAATAAGATCGACAGTCAACATAACAAACACTTAGTAAACACGTGTTCGATTGAAACACTTGTTGTGATAACTTCCATAAATACATTTAAGTTCTTATTCGTTTCTACTCAAACGAACATAAATAATTTATAAAATAAATAACAACACGTATACATAGGTACAGAAGCGCTCTCATAACTGCAATTTTGACAATAAAGAAAGAGAAGAGATAAAGATAATAAACCCAACATTTTTGAAACAGAAAGTTTTGATTGCCCGACTTCCACCTTCCATGTTTCTTAAATGGACGATCGCTGACACCTGCTGCCGCTGCAGCGGTAGCACCACCCGACCTCAAACTATGTACGCCTTATCTTTTAGAATCTAGTCCTAAACTATCTAATGTATATAGAACTAACTCCCGAACTCTGGTGTATGATAACGGTTGAATACTTTTCCTTAATTTGTAGGAGTTACTTGTGTTACAATATGTACATGTACCTTGTCTAAAAATAAACTCCTGTGACGTCTCTAATATCTATACTACTATATTAAAATTATAGACTCGAATTTTTGGCCTTTAATACCGATAAATCGGAAGAGTATTGTCTTTTGTTTTATATATTTTAAACATCATTTGTACCTGAAGATTACCGATTTGTTATTTTTTCTCAATTATACTTCGCTAATTAATAATCAACGAAAATTCCTCAAAAAATTCCGGAAATCATCTGGATTTTTTGGATTTTACAATCTTGCGCGTGCGCATTACATTCATGCTAAATCATGGTGTTCAAACCAGAGAAGACAAAAGAAGCACTAACTAAAGTAGATATATATTTATTTTATAATTTCTCTAATAAGAAATCATAAATATATATGAACAGAATATATAACAAATTTCCAATGAAAATTTACACGTATTAGTATTATCTTTCTGAGTTTATCCATGCAAATGTGATACTGTGGCCACGTGGGTACATGTAATCATTCGCCATCTCGGAGACACATTTATATATATATATATATATATATATATATATATATATATATATATATATATATATATATATATATATATATATGTTATTTATGTCTCTGGCCATCTCAACGGGAGCAAAACGCTCATGATCGTAGGAGCAATATTAATGTAACTACCTGATTTTATTTTATCCTTCCTTTCTTTTATGTTTTTTTGAAGGGAATCACATCTTAGTGAAGTAGGCATTCTTTTTCCGCCAAAAATTACAATAACATTATTTTCGTTTCTCAACTTTGAAATAAATCGAAATAATTAAATAACGTCGATATAACCGATATTTTCAATTTGAAATGTGTCTAAATGATTGCAACTTGAATTTATTCGCCATGTTTACTATTACCTTCACTGCTGAGATTTATAACGGGGTAAATATGAAACATAAACTAAGGGCAAAGAAATATTTGTTTCCATGCAAAAAATTCACATTATATTTCTTTGGAGTGTGTTGAAATTAATAGCATTATTGTAGGCTTATAGTTTTGTTATGTAAATACATGTAATGACCTCTGACTCTGGTCTGTCAACAATACGGTGAACACCCCCTGCAATGCTTGCGTCGTGCATTTCCCACGTGAACCATCAAAGAAAGCATTTTATTGTTTATATTTAAATTCACCTCCAAAAATTTCTTTAACTTTCAAAAAAGTCAGCCCTTGCGGCCCATACAGTTCATTCTATCAATGCTGCTAAAATATCGATCGTTTGTAAAATATAATCCATGCATAGTAAATCTCAAAACTATGAGATGGGACAAAATTAAGATCGTAAAAAATATTTATTCATTGATGAAATGAATTATATTTAATCGTAGCAAACAAACGTTTCATGAATTCGCCACAAGAAAAAATACACCAGCGTGAAAACAAGTTGTCTTCTTCAGCAGCCATGACAGTTCTCAAGTGATGTAATGACTTTTGATTGAAAACGTTTAATACTGCAGTAGATTAACTTTTGTTATCACTAAACAGATATATAAATGTTTATGAGGTATGTATTTTATCTTTGCTGCATTATTTATGTATGAAGTAAAAAAAATTCCCATATTCAGTTAAAGATCCCGCTCCCAAATTCTCATTGGCTGTTCCAAAATAAAAACAGTCAAGGTCAGTAAACTTTAAAGTTTGCGGTAAACTCAGATTTTACAAAATATTTTTGAAAAATTTATGCTCTGAATAATTCCATCAGAAACATTTATTTTAAAATGTTTCTGATTACATTGTATGATTTCAATTAAAAAATGGAAATGATATTGTATGATCCAAAAAGAGTTGTACCCCCCACCCCATCTCCACCCCCAGGAAAAGGCTCTATTATTGCAGCAAGAAATACTTTCAAGTTCCTACTTCTCTACTAAGAATACCCTTGCTTGGCTTATCTAAGATAATGATAATATATGTTTCCCATATATTTTATGCTGTACTAATTCAAGGATATCACATTAATTTTTATCAAAACAGGCAGTCATGAGAGCATTTTCTTATATCATATATAAATTACATTTGATATTCTTAATTTTTATAATGATCTCTTGAACAACCAGTATGTTTTTTTTTGGGGGGGGGGGGTATTTGCAAGATAATCTGTTCTGCTTCACATATAGATCTGCTAAATTGTGTAAAAATACCAGTATAGCACATTTGTCCATTTTCATTTCTGCTTTCACAGATTATATACATGTCTAATATCTGTGTATATATATAAAGTATCTGTATTAGCAGTGCTCAACTCTTTTATTGTTGAGGTCATATTTTGAACAAGTTGAGACCTGCAGTGTTAAAATTGTTACAAAATTTTTTACACCTTTAGTTTAATAAGTGTTTGTGTAAAAATACCAGCTTAGCACATTTCTTCATTTTCATTACTTTGTTTGATATGTATCAGAAGTGCTCAACTCTGTTGTTTTCAATAAATATCCATAATTTCTTTTTTTAAATTTGTTTGGAAAGGTGAAATTTATGTAAGCTCCGGCGTGATTCGAACTCATGACTTGATCTGGGGGTCAAACCCATTCTGCGCTACGCCGTTACGCAACAATTTTGCAAAAAAACAAACAAACAAACAAACAAAACAAAAACAAAACAACCCCCCCCCCGATTTAT